TAAGCAAGTCTAGCTTTTCGAATCTGCCGTTTTTAGGGCTTTTTTTCACCACTCATGACATTCCGACGAATTTCCCTTTTTCAGTGTTAAGTTTGTCGAAGAAAATTCCGGTGAAGGATTGAAAATTTGAGAAAAAATCTGCTCCTTTTATAAAGTTTTTGTAGCGAAAAAAATCCTGCTTTGGTACCACGTGAATAACATTTTTTTCGAGTGAATTTTCAAATGCTTTACATTATAGATCAACCATTGCGACGAGCTTCCTGAGTTGAAAATTTTGAATAGTATGGAAAATTCGAAAATAGCTGGAGCTTTGTCGGAAGAAGAAAGTGACGCAGAGGAGGAAGCGGATCCTTGCAAGCGTGAGTTGTTTACGCCTTGAAACTTAGCGAAACGCTTTTTTTTTTGAGATTTTGGAGTAAGCCGCAGGAAGTTTATGCACAAAAACTCTGCTAGTCTGAACTCATCAGGGAGCCTATTCTCATACGAAATATTACGACATGAAATATAATTTCATCGTTTTCTGTCTTGCAGATCGCGCTGATGCAGCGTACGAAAACTATGACTACAACTTGCTGGAGATATCACAACAAGAAAAGGAGGCGAAGAAGGAGCTCAACGAAATTTTCCACAAGGTAGCAAATCTTCTATCCCATGTAATTTGCAATTCAGCAGAAAGTGGTTTCTATTAAGATAAACGGCACCAGCGAACCAGAAGAGGCAGTATTGGACTGGCGAGCTCGTATTAATGATCCTGTCAATACAGTAGTATTGCTGAATACTCATGCTGCTAAACCTGTGATACTGGCGGTGAGTGCCTTATGTTTCAATTATAGTATTATAATTATTACTGTAATTATAATAGATGCTGAAATAGGGGCCTATCTTGACAAATACTGATTTTCATGTCCGGCGATGGTTTTGTTGAGGAGTTTTGTGTCAATCTTTATTCGTCATCTTGGCTTAATTTCAGACCTCGCTTGCGGCCGATAAGTTCGCTGACTTGTTGGTATCAAGATTCACAAAACGCATCTCATTGCCGATCTCTGCCTGTATGGAACTACTATCAGGCAATCTGTTTTTGAAAAGGTGTGTGATGCCTGCGGGTTGATGAAGAAGGGGTTTTTTTTTGAAATAACATTTGTAGTTCAGTAGAATGCGGTGAAAGGAAGGTATTTAGTTGCTTTTGGTTGAAAACTTTTTTTCCACTAAACG